GGACTAGAACTTGTCTCCTTGTGATTGGCCCAAAGTCACCTAGCTGGCTTTCGTGCCTAATGCGGGACTAGAACTCACCGTCTCCTTGTGATTGGCCCAAAGTCAATCAACATCTTTTATGCCTAAGCCGAGGCTTTCCCGCTGTTTCTTCATTGGTTCTTTACAACAACCCCACTTTGTGGTAGGCTATGTTGAAAGAGTGCAAAAATCCGTGCCCAAAATCCCATTGGTTCAAAAGCCATCGATTCAGCATTTCCTCACCGTTGTGTTAATTGGCCTCTGCTAAGGAGTTAGCCAGTCATCGCTTCCTGAAGCTCCTGAATTTTTTTTTATTTTTTTACGCCTGCATCTTTTATTGCTCTCCCACCTGTGCCCCCACCTCTTGCACTTCAGAAGTTAAAAAAAGAAAAATCATGGCGCCCGAACACTACAATTCCCCACCTCTGCTCCAAATTCCTTCCCTTGATTGAAATGAGCTGAGCTGTGGCTCTGATTTAGCGCATGTTTTTCGGTGCCTTCTCTCTGCTCCAATAATTGTTCCGGATCAACCATTTCCCTGTGTCAAAGATTTAAATAAAAAAAACCAACCCCAACCAGCTCAAACTCAACCACGGTGCGTTTTTCCTCCCTCATCCAGAAAGCTGAGTTGGGCTAATCCTCTTAGTTACATCGCCTTTGGTGGGGCTTACTTTCCGCACACCCTTCCCGATGACGAGATTAGCAACTGCCCTGGCACAGAGAGGAAAAAAAGGCACAGCGTATGTTTAGGTTTCCTTGGGACACGGCGATGGTTAGCCACGGCTGTGGCTTATGGGTGCTCCAGTTTGTCCTTTCCTTCTCTGCTTCTCCTGTCTTTGCTTTTGGTGGGGAGAGGAAGAGATACGGGCTAATGCGAGGATTTTGTCTTCTGGCTAATGTTTTGCGCGCCCAGGGTTGACTCCTAAGGATGCCCAAAGCCACGGTGGTGAAGTTGATCGTAACCGGGGATGATTTTGGCTACTGCCCGAGGAGGAATCACGGCATCGTGGAGTGTTTCCTGGCCGGGGCCATCTCCAACGTTTCGCTCCTGGTTAACGGGAGCGCCGTGTCTGACGCTGTCCAGCTGGCCAAGAAGTGAGTCTCTCCTTTTTTCTTTTTCTTTGATTTCACGGGCGTCAAGCAATTCTTAAACCCGAAAGATGGGTCTACAACCAGAGGTGGTATTCAGACGGTCAAGACCAGTTCTGGAGAACCAGTAAGTGGAAATTTTGAGTAGTTCGGAGAATTGGTCAATCCCGCCTCTGACTGGCTCTGCCAACCCCATCTCTTCTCCGCCTCCCATTGAGTCCCAGCTGATCAGCCGGCTCTTCTTTTGGTTGCCCTGCACAGGAGAACAGAGCTGGAAAGCAGGTTAGTGAGGTGGGGAAGGAAAGGGGATTTTGCAGTATATCCTTCCCCTGTCATGCCCACCAAGCCGGGCCCACAGAATTAGTAGTAAAAAAAAATTTGAATCCCACCCCTGGTCTACAGGTTGTCCGTGACTCACAATCCTTCGTTTAGTGTCCCTTCAAAATGACGGCAGCAAAAAAAAAAAAAAAGTGACTTACGGTTGGTTGGTTTTTCACACTTATGACTGTTGCGGCATTTCCCCACGGTCACGTGATCAGATGCTTGGCAACTGGCATGTACTTATGACAGTTGAGATGTCCCCGGGGGTCGTGTGATCCCCTATTGTGACCCTCTGACAAGCAAAGTCCAATTGGGGGAAAAGCCAGATTCATTTAACAACCGGGTTACGGTTGCCGTGACAAATGCCGTGACTCGCTAGACAAGTGTGGATTTCAGCTCCCAGAATTCTCAGGGATTCTGGGAGCTGAAATAAATAACTGGCACCAAGATTGCAGAAGAAGAGAAGACAGCTCTGAATTCCCAAGGCCAAAGGACTGTGCCGTCTTCTTTTTCACACAAACCCCCCAGATACAGGTCAGAAAGAAATGGTGAAGAACCACTAAAAGATACCGCAAAATGAAAATATTGTGTTTTTGAAGAGGTTAAAAACTGCGTCCGGTGACAGCATCTCTCTTTAAAAAAATAAATAAATCCCTCGGTGTTTAATTAGGCGATTATCTAACTTATCCTGGCCTGCCTCTGTTCCCGTTTTCTCAGCCAATCTAAGAGGATTTACTTTGTTGTGCTGGCTCTTACAAACCTGTGAGATTTTTCCCGATTCAGCCCGAGATTTCTCTCCTTCCCTTGTTACTCACTTCTTCCACATACACTCTTATAAGTTTCCTTGGGGAATTCATTATTACACACAAAACAGTGTGAAATCACGCAGCTGTGGGTTCTTTTCCTGGTATTAGCCTTCACAACACATAGCTTTTCCCTAGCACGTTGTAATGCATCGCTTTAGTATACAGGTAGTCCTCGACCTACAACCACAATTGAGCCCAAGATTTATGTTGCTGAGTGGGAAATGCGTTAAGTGAGTTTTGCCCCATTTTACGACGTTTTGTTAAGGGAATCCCTGCAGTTGTGAAATTAATAACACAATTGTTGAGTGAATCTGGCTTCCCCCCACATTGGCTGTGTTTGTTGGAAGGTGGCTGGGATGCTGCAATAGTCAGATTTACGCGCTGGCTACCAAGTGCCCAAAGTTTTGATCATGTGACCATGGGGATCCTGCAACAGTCATATGTGCGAGGACCGACTGCAAGTCCCTTTTTTCAGTGGCGTAATTCCACTGAACAAATGATTGTAAGCTGATGACCACCTGTAACACACACACATCCAATTCATCCACCATATACACACACATACTCTCTAATTATCCATCATGTCTATAATCTCTACCTTTTTATCTCAGCTTGTCTCTTATCTATCATTTCTACCTCTATCTCAGCTTCTATCTCTCTCTCTTTATCGAATCTATCATCATGTCTATCATCTCTCTTTATCTCAGCTTATATATCATCTATCATTTCTACCTCTCTATCTCAGCTTCTCTCTCTCTCTTTCTCTCCCTACCTACCTATTTATCTACGGTATCTATCAACATGTCTATCATTTCTATCTCTCTATCAGCTTCTGTCTGTCTGTCTGTCTATCATCTCTCTCCAATCATCTCTACTCCTTTTTCTCAGCTTCTCTCTCTATTATCTATCAATCATCTATTGCAAGGGTCTTCAAACTTGGCAAGTTTAAGACTTGTGGACTTCCACTCCCAAATTTCCTGAGCTAACATAACTGGAGGAGGAATTCTGGGAGTTGAAGTCCATAAGTCTTACAGCTGTCAAGCTTGAAGACCCCTGATCTATCATTTCTAACTCTCAGCTCTTTCTCTCTGTCTCTCTCTCTCTCTCCATCCATCCATCCATCATCTATCTATCTAGAGTTAATATACGTAATACTCCTGCTTCCTATTTATATATGAGGTCTTCTCCAATTCCATCCTCATCACACCACCACCTCTGTTGGACTGAAAGACCATGATTAAGTCCAACCAGCTTCATGAGCCAATGGAAACACGTACCGGGGTCTCTCCTTGGCCACTATATTATGTTCATCTTCCTGTTATCCTCTTCTTTGTCCAAATTCTGGAAACCTCATCTATCCGAGATGGCCCTTCACGTCTACATATCCTTTTTAATAGGGAGACAATAGATGTTGGTCACACTTAAATCGCCTCCTGGAAATACACAAGGATAATTACAGTTCCTGCTGCTAAATGCTTGATTCCCACAAATTACGTCACGGAAGAGGAATCTGATGAGTCACCCTCTTGAACTAGGAATGGGATCCAAATCAACAAATCCTGCAAGTTTTTCTCCTTGGCGGACGTTCAAAGTTGTGTTTGGTTTTTTCAATTTTTTCCCCCCTCTTTCTGTAGACATTCCATTCCGATAGGACTCCACGCCAACCTTTCTGAAGGCACCCCGGTTTGCCCAGCACTGAAGAAAAAGTCCACGCTACTCAACCCAGAAGGGTTCTTCCATGGGAAGATGGGAATTCGGAGGTGTTTGAACGAAGGACTCCTTAATATGGTTGAGGTGAGGGGGAAGCCAGGCAAACACACCTCAGTCAACTCTTTCAAAGGTGGTTGAGATACTGCCAGCCTTGGAAGGCATATTTCACTTAGAAGCTTCGAGTCTGCCTGGGAATTTGGGAGGGGGGTATTTCATAAGAGAGGTGGAAGGTTAGACTCAACAACATTCCTTTCTCAGAGAGTCAAGGACATGTTGCCCTGCACCTGGAGGGGAGTGACTGGAAGGATGTCTCCAGTTGGGACGATGGTGGATTGGGCCATGTGATGGGCTGGTGGGTGCAGGGGGATGGGCTTTTGATTTCTCTTCTGGGAAGGGGAAACCCAGAACTCCCAGATTTGGGTTTTCCTCGATGTGCCAATATAACTTCTTTAATAAATTCTTTACCCGGACAAACTTTGTTTCTGAGAGCTGAATGAAATGGGGAGTTTCACTGAAACGCTGACAGGTACGTTGTGAAGGATGTCAATGTTGAGCCAGGCAACTCAAATTGGTTGGGTTGGGTCTTCTTTTCGATGTAGGCCAAATTCATCAAGGGAGAAGTTTCTGATTTCTTTTTTCTTAAATGGTACCAAGCCTGTTTTGGAGCCCACAGAACATTTTGTGCATTTTCTGCTAAGAAGGGCAGGAAATCACATTGCTCTTTTGGGTTAGTGTTGTTCGGAGAAGATTTCAGGGTTGAAATGAGTTCTCGTTTCATTGGTGCTCTCTTGAGCTGGTGGTTTTCTTGCCGACATTTCATTACCTCACTAGGTAACATCATCAATGCTAGAAGGGAGTGGGGTTTGTGGAGAGGAGGAGGAGGACTGTAGCGTCCTTGGTTCTCTCTGAGCTTGGTTGTTTTCTTGCAGATGTTTCATTACCGAACTAAGTAACATCATCAGTGTTAGAAGAGAGTTGGGTGAGAGGAATAGGAAGAGGAAGACTACTATAGGGCCTTTGGTGTTTTCTGAGCTTGGTTGTATTCTTGCAGATGTTTCATTACTCAGACAAGGTTAACAGCACCGATGATGCTACCTAGTTGGGTAATTAAACGTCTGCAAGAAACCAACCCAACTCAGAAACCACCAAGGAAAACACCCTTCATTTTGGAGCTTGCCAAGATGTCCCTTGGAAGGTTTAGTTGTGTCCGATCGGTTTTTTTAGCCTTCATCTGACAATTTCATTTTTATAAATGAGAATGTTCAAGCGACGAATTTACACCTCCTGCTTTTCTACGCTTAGGTGAAGCAGGAATTAATAGCACAAGTGGAGTTGTTTTGCGAACTGACAGGCCGTTTACCACACCACATGGATGGTCACCAACACGTCCACGTTCTCCCAGGTAAGTAGGATCGGTCCACCGTCTCCCTTCTGCTCCTCCAAAGACATTTCGGCGTTTGCATTTCCCTGGCATTGAGATCCTCTTACCACGTTCTTCCTCTTCGGTTACTCTTCCAGAGATCAGGCACGTATTTGCAGAGGTCTTGGAAGCCTACGGGATCACTTACACGCGGGTTCCCATTGAACCAGATCTCCCGCGCTGTGGTTGGATAGAGTCAACTCTGATGGATTTCTATTCGGGAGTGGAGAAGGATTCGCTGGACACCATAGAGGTCTTTCAAAAGCACGGGATAAGGTGGGGCATCCATAAGAATAGAACGAATGAGCTGGAAGGTACCTGGGAGGTCTTTTAGTCCAGCCCCCTGCTCAAGCAGGAGAACTTATACCATCTCAGACAAGTGACTGTCCAGTCTCTTCTTAAAAACCACCAGTGATGGAACAGCCACTATTTCTGGTGGCAAGCTGTTCCACTGGTTAATTGTCCTCACTGTCAGAAAGTTTCTCCTTAATTCCTGGTTGCTTCTCTCCTTGATTAGTTTCCATCCATTGTTTCTTGTCCTGCCCTCTGGGGCTTTGGAGAATAATTTGTGACCCCCTCTTCTTTGTGGCAGCCCGTCAAATACTGGAACACTGCTATCACATCACCCCTAATTCTTCTTTTATTTAGATTAGCCAGACCCAAATCCTGCAGCTGTTCTTTGTATCTTTTAGTCTCCGGGCCTTTGATAAGTCTTAGTTGCTCTTCTCTGAACTTTTTCCAAAATCTCCGTATCTTTTTTGGTGACTAAAAATGGTTGCAGTATTCCAGGTGTGGTTCTTACTAGGGTTTTATAGAGAGCAGGTTGTTTTCTAAGACTAGAGAAATACCGTGAACCTAATTAGCAGTCAGGAACAGTGTACTTTTTGAACTTAGTTTTGAAAAGTTCTGCTGTAGATAGCCCTTACTTACAACCATTTTTTTTAGCCACTCTTTGGACTCCCAAAGTCCAAGACACCCCCTTTTTTTTTTCAAAAGGGGACCCTTCTTGGTTTCCTGCCTTGCAAACGTTTCACTTCTCATCCAAGAAGCTTCTTCTGTTCGCCTCTAGATTCTTGAATGAGAAGCGAAAACATTTTGAAGGAAAATAAAAACAAGAAAAGTCCAGGTGCTTTTTGGAAAAAGCATCTTTGGGGACAACCCTAACCTGGATGATTGAGAATCTCCATCGATGAATGCTTGAAATTGCAATGGCACTGAAGGGAGGGACTTACGACCAATTCTCGCTCTTAACAACTGTCGCGGTATCACCATGGCTATATGATGAGAGCCCTTGTAACTTCAAACAGTCGCTAAACGAATTGTTGTATGACAAGGGCTACCTATAAGGGACATATTATTAAGAAAGGATGCCTTATACCCATGATGGTGAACCTATTGCACGCGTGCCACAGGTGGCACATAGAGCCATTTGTGCTGGCAGGTGAGCTGCAGGCAAACTTACCTCACTGCGCATGCACGCACCTCACAGCTAATTTTCGGCAGGTTTGAGGCCTTTTTCGGACTCCCAGAGGTTTGAGGAAGGCTTCTGCAGGCTTTTCAGGTCAAAAACTAGGCCCGTTTCGTCACTTCCTGTTTTTCCGAAAATACTGGAAGTGACTAAATGGGCCTAGTTTTTGGCCTGAAAAGCCTGCAGAAGCCTTCCTCAAACCTCTGGGAAGCCAAAAAAGGCCTCAAACTGGCTGAAAATCAGCTGTAAGGCGCAGTGCAGGTAAAGGGGTGGCGGGGGGTGGGTGGAGATTACCTTCTGGGTGCTGGCACACGAGCGCTAGAGTACAAGCGCACACAATTTTTGGCACAGGACACCCCAAAAGGTTAGCCATTACTGCCTTATATAGTCCTCAACTTATGAGCACAACCGAGCCCAACATTTCTGTTGCTAAGTGAGGCCTTTGCTGAGTTTTGCCTCATTTTACGATCTTTCTTGCAAGTTGTTAAGTGAGTCGCCACAGTTGCTAAGTTAGGAACATGGTTGTTAAGGTGAATGTGGTTTTTTTCCCCATGGACTTTGCTTGTCAGGTCACAAAATGGGTTTAGCTGATTGTGGGACAGCACAATGGTCATACATAGGAGTCAAGCACCTCAATTTTGACCACACCTGACCATGAAGATGCCACAGTGGTCATTAAGTGTGCACAACGGTCATAAGCCACTTTTTTCCAATGCTGTTGTAACTTTGAACAGTCACTAAACGAACATTTTGTAAGTTGAGGACTGTCTTTCTGAAACGTAAGTAACTTTTTGTCTTCCAGGTGGCCAGATATCTATATCGGCCTCAGCACCATGGGGAAAAATATGTCCACCCAAAACATCTTGGATGCTATTGATAACGCCACCACAGCGCATCTGGCCAAAGACGACTCCGCAACTCCTCCGCCCTCTTCATTCTTGTGTCCTGGTCAAGGGCTCCGGACAGTGACGCTTGAACTCATGACCCACCCAGGCTACCCCAGCATCCCGCCTACTGGAGGTTGTGGAGAAGGCCCGGATGACTTTTCTCAGTCCTGGGAGCGCCTGCACGAACTCGAGACCTTGAAGAACCCAGAGCTCCAGAAACAGTACCAAATCAGGAATATTCGGCTCTGTGCTTTCCAAGATCTCACTGTCTGATTCTCTGTGAAGGACGCTTCCCGTTTTTACACTGGTTAGATCAGGAGTCGGCAACCCACAGCTCTGGAGCCACATGCGGCTCTTTCGGTCCTCTGCTGCGGCTGTCGGCTGATCCCACCACTAACTGGCCGCACCCCTCCCAGTCATTCCTTACCTGACCTGTTTTCTATAGGAAGCGGGTCCAAATGGCTCTTTGAGTGTTTAAGGTTGCAGACCCCTAACCTAGATGAAGATGGCTAGTTCAGGGATGGCTCCCAGGGAGAGCAGAAGACACCCGGGAAATTTTTGCACCCTCTGCAGGCAGATATGGCTCCTCCTCCCCTTTTTAAATTTTATTTTTTCTTTCTTTTTTGCAACTGGGGGGGTGGGGGGAAATCTCACAGAAGATATTTTTGTGCAATTGTCTTCATGCAAAGAGCCAAGTGGAATTTCCAGAGTTGATGGTTGTGGGAGAGGATTGAGGCAGTCCAGTGGGGAGCCATCACTTGGCGTTGACTTGATAGAAATGCCAGCATAGACCTGAAATTTTAGGGTATACCAAGAGGGGAGAGAATATTGGTAACTCAGGGTTGAAAGGCCCTTGTTGCTCTTTGAGCTTGTGGTTTCCTTGCAGACGTTTCGTAACCAAACTAGGTCACATCATCAATGCATCACTGGGTGTTCATCTAATATAGAGGTCCCCAAACTTGGCAAATTTAAGACTTGTGGACTTCAACTCCCAGAATTCCTCAGCCAACTATGTTGTAAGTCTGGGAGTTGGAAGTCCACAAGCCAAGGCTTGGCACGCTGCAAGAACCCAGCCATACAGTAACCTAAGTCTCTCTTTCTGCCTTATATTCTGAGATAGAAAGGCATTTGGAAGAATCCAATGTTATTTTAGGTTGTTTTTGTTTAGTAACTCAGTGATTTGTTTTAAGGATTAGTAAAAAAAAAAAAACCACCATCCCATCTGTTTGAATAGTAAGTAGAACAGGATGAATCAAGAATATCTCGATCTGCGAGGCTTAAATCAAAATGTTATGAAAACTTCGTTAGAAGGAAGAGACAGTTTGGAGCCTTCCAATTTTTTCTTTTTTACCCTTGGGTTGAAGGTAGTTTAATATCAAAAGCGAACAGTTGTTTTAAGCACTCTCAGGCTTTGAAAAATAAACTTTGCATTAGGCAATCAAATGATCCCCCCTTTTTTAACAGGCTCAGTTGCTTTATGCAAAACCACTTGCACAAATGATCCAAAGTTTCTTTCCCCATCTCTGAATTTCCCTTTTTTTTTAAAGATAAAACGTTCCCTGGATTTCCACAGGATCCTATCTCTGATCCAGTAGATATATATTTAAAAAGCTGCTGTTAAATGTTATCTTTCTTATTTCACATTTTACAGGGAGGCTTTGACTTACAAACGTCTGTTTAGGGACCAATCAGTTACAACAGCATTGACAAAAGTGACTTGCAACCAGTCCTCGTACTTACGGCCATTGCAGCATCCCTGGGGCCAGGTGATCGGAACCAGGTACCAGCATATAAGAATTATAGTGCCCTGGGGCCACTTCATCCTGATTTGTGACCTTTCCAGCTGCAAAGCCAAATGGGGAATCCGGATTCGCTTAACGACCATGTGAACGACCATGGCCAAAAAAAAAGGTCGTAAAATTAGGCGCGATTCACTTTAAGAACCGCCTTGCTAAGCAATGGAAATTCTGGTTGTAAGTTGAAAATTATCTGTATTAGGTCTCCAATATAATGTTTACTTTTTAAAAGAAATTACATTCCTTTGGTTGATTGTTTAAACATTCGAATCAATACTGTGACTCTTGTAATTCCCACAAATTTCTTGAGTTCTCTGTTGACACTGAATTATTATTTATTCTTGTATTACTCTGGGACTAATGATGAATTAAACTAGATTTTTTTTAAAAAAAATCACCCTCTTTTCTATGGATAAATAATTGCCTACTAATTAGCTCTGCGTTTGGTTAGGAACAGTTTGATAAATTGAAAATTGAGTTTTTTCCAGTCTCTCCCTGGCCTGCACTGGTCAAAACTAAAATATCTGAAAGGAGCATTAACAGAATGATGGCAAGAATGTGCCAACATTTAGCCATCTTTTAGATGGAAATATTTACCCTTCCTTTCTAATTATCTTATGTACTATATCAATTTATTTTGGCTAGTTTGTTCTTATGTAGTAGAAATGCAGAGAGAATTGGCTGGGCATTTTAACTAGTTCTGCTTAAATTACTTCGACAAAATACAAAGAAACACAGGCCAGGATAGATGCCAAGAAAGTTGATTTGATTAGGAGGTGGAAAGGAAAGAAAGAAAGAAAGAAAGAAAGAAAGAAAGAAAGAAAGAAAGAA